TATATTAAAGCACATCCATATTTTTATTTTTTTTGAACAAATAATTTTTAGTCATAGGCAAATTCTCATCTTGTAATGTTTTCAATAATTTTTTTTTTGAAATTTCATGAAAAAGAAATTAAGTCTAATTCAACTTCACAAATTTAAAAAATCGACAATTTTAAGTCTCAATTAACTCACAATCCAATTTTTGACATATATGACGATGTTACAATTTCAATCAATCAAAATTTGTTTAATTATTCCATTTGTGTCCCATAAATATTTGATGAGGCATTATTTATATTTTATAATCAAATTATTTAATTCAAAATTATTCAATATTAAATTATTTAATATGAAATATTTCATATTAAATAATTTTACATGTAAACTAAAATTACCTATTTTTAAAAAATGTGTGGAATAAAATGAGAAATTAAAACTATGAGTGTCAAAATTATTCATGCACTAAATTAAGGAGACCAAAAAGATAATTAATTATTAAATCGATTTTTATTGCTAAATAGTTTTAAAATATTTTTTCACTCACATCATAAATAAAATATTTTTAATTTCTTTTTATGTATTAAATAAAGATTACTATAAAATTATTTTCATTTTTACAACAATAATCAAGATATAATATTTTATGAAAAATATACTTTAAAATAATTTCAAATTAAAAAATGTATTTTTTATTTAAAAAATAATATCTACATTAATAAAATTATAAATATTAATATATTTTGATTTATATATCAAACCCTTATATATTAAACATGATTTTCTATCTTGCATGAAAATGTTTTTAAGAGTTTTTCTTTGATAAGAGAATTTTGAGATTTTTTTTAACTTATTATCTAATTCAGATTTTATTTATTATCATTATTTATAAATTAAATTTTAATTTTTAAAAAAATAAATTATGAATAAATAAAAATAATATTAGATTACAATATAAAATATTTATCATAAATCTAAAATATAATTTATATGTTGCTATAAAAATATATATAATTTAAAAATATCTATTTATATAAATTTTTAATATGATTTATATATTCAAACATAATATTTATTTGTATATATAATTTATATTTAACCTGTGCATTATATAAGTTAAAATACTAGAAAATTAGTTAAGTTAATTAAACATTATTAATTTGAGTAATTGAAATAATAATATTTCAAAAATAGTGTATTCAAATAATATCATCGTTCAATTTTGTTTAACATTTTTATAGTGATACAAAATTAAATTAAATATAAATTAATTCTACCTTAACTCAAGTCATTCATTCATGTATTTTTCTTTATGTCAATTTTTATTCTAGGAATTTTTACATCATTTTACATTCTATTACACCTTTAATAAAAAGTCACTAAGTTATTATAAATAAATTAATAATTAAATAATATAAAATATATATGGTACTATTTTGAATCAATATTAAGATCAGTCAAGTGGTAAAAATTCGAGATTAAAATTGCATATGCATAAGATCCTAAAAATTTGTTGCAATTTATACTAATTAAAAAACACGATGCCATGCTACAAAGAAAGAAAAGAAAAGAAAATAATCTATATATTATTGGAATTTACTTGAGTTGGTCATTTGAATTTGCTTTACCTTGCAATATTTATGTGTGATGACCATATGATTTGATAAAGGTAGATAATTAATAGATGTGGATCTTCTACTTTTCTTATCTTCTTTACCCAGATTTGATGAATTCTTATTAGTAATTGTACTAGTAGGCACCTCCTGGGCTAGGTAATGGACCGAAACGACCACCAAAACCGAAAGGTCACAAGTCATGTCGGCCCCTGGACAAACCGAACACCCATTCGGCCCCAGACTAGGCCGAATACCTCTTCGGTCCCGTGACAGGCAAAATATCCGTTCCCTCGCAAAGCCAGAGATCCCATTCGGTCTTAGCCCTGGCCGAATACCTCCTCGGCCTTTGCCTTGGCCGAGTACCCCCTCGGCCTTTACCTTGGCCGAACACTTCCTGGGCTTCTGCCTTGGCCGAACGCCTCCTCGGTTTTAGGCCTGGCCGAAGGCATAAAAGAGGTAGTTCATAATAAGCAGGTGATAAATCATGTGATAATTATCATGTATATCTAAGTAAGATTAAGGTTAATCCCAGTATTACCCATCTCCCAAGACGGAAGGCCCACCAGGCCCAAATATGTCACTATAAATATACAGGTGATGTGACATAAATGAGGTACGTTACTATTCCAACTAGCACATTTATTGCTTTGAACCGAATACTGACTTGATCGTCGGAGTGCCTTTGCAGGTACCCTCCCCCATCACACAGAGCTAGTGTTCGGTCGGTACGGAAGACTTGGAAGGACTGGAAGGCCGCTAAGGAGAGAGCCAGGAGAAGAGTGTCCTTACACAGGAACATTTTGGCGCCCACCGTGGGGCCGAAACCATAACGGTTCTCGACCCTGAAGCAAGATGGTGATGACAAGGAGCCAGCAGGAGAACGCGGCAGACTACCCTTTCGGAATGCCCCGAGGCACCCATGGACAGCAAACTAATCAGAACGAGGGAATAGAGGAGTCATATGTGGACAGGTCTCAGCAACCTAATCCATCGTCCGCCATTGAACAACTGAAGGCTGAAATGATGGAACTTAGAAGGTTGAGGGAAAAGGACGCTCACGAGCTGTCAGCTCTGAGAAGAGAGAACGCCGAACTCAGAAGCGATAATCGGACGTGGCACCCGTCGCGCGATACGCTCCATCAGACAACTCGAGACCACGGAGAATCGTCCGGATGGTACAAGGAAACCAACGTCCCTCGGCCATCGAGCGTACCAACCATAACGACCCAAGATCAACGACGACAAGGAAAGACGCCGTTTACACCAGACATTGCTGGAACACGGTTGCCCGACAACTGGAAAAACTTGACCTTGGAAAAATACGACGGAACGGCCGACCCGGAGGAACACCTCGACGCCTTTGTCACCCAAGTCAGCCTATACACAGATGAAGATGCCATTTTTTGCAAGGTCTTTCCCACCTCTTTGAAAGGACCGGCACTTAACTGGTTCACTAGACTTCCACCTGGGTCGGTAGAATCGTTCACATCCCTGTCCTCTCGTTTCGTGATTAATGATGGGCGAGTACCCCATGCATTTAGATGTAGGTGCACACTGCATTACATTACTATGCATGTGTTTGTAAGTTTAATTGATGGTGTTTATAATTGAAGTTGATGTATTAATTATTGTTATCATATTTGTTATCATGAAGGGATGGAATGTTGAGGGTTGCGCCCCATTTCTTATAGAGTGAGATTATATATTCTCACTCCTTGTTTGTTTATTGGTATGTTTTTGTATATTTTCCATACGAGAATCCTTAGTATTTAGAGGAGCAGGGAGATATCTAGGTGCTTGTGGAAACTGTGATGTCAATGTGACACTGGGACTTGGGAGTAGCTAGGAATTTTGCTATCTCTTTTGTTTTAGTTAAGTACATGCAAGTTGTAATTTGACTTCTACTACTTCGCTACTTATTCTTTAGATGAACCAGTTTATTTTATTCATAAGTTTAAATGAGGATGAATAAAGACCTTATGAGATATGTATATATTTTATTGGTATCTCTCTTGGGGGTAGGTGGATGTCACATTAAAAACTCACACGTTTGTAGTGAAAAGAAAGTAACTTATCTGACAAAGTGTTGGAGAAGAGTCAGATGAAACACTGAGATTTTTATACTAGTTTGTCTCAACCCACCGAGACTATGTCCAATTTTCAATTCAACCAGATTGAGTTCCACTAACTTTCAATAAAGTTACAAGTATTCTTTTATCGTCACTTTTGACTCAATTCTAAGTAGTCTTTGACTTACCTTTTCAAGTAATTACCTAAGTATTCTTTGAAAAATTAGCCTTTCTAGGCTTAGCACCAAGTATTCTTTCAAATAACTTTCTCTAGGCTCAACCCTTATAATAAAGGTAATAAATGATTACAAGATTATTTTTTCTCTTCTAGACGAGAAGTAATCAACAATGAAAGCACATGTATTCTACAAAAAAAAAATACAAAATTTACAATAAGAGTTTCTTTGTAGGTTTCTACTCTATGTATCTTAGTAAGCTTCTTTATACAATTTTCTTGATGTATGTCTCTTTTATTTGGTGTTATTTGAAGGCTTGACCCTTTTATAGTAGTTCTAGGAAAGATGACCGTTGCGACAATTTGAGTTGAACTCACAATATTACTTCATGAGTTACTTCGTTTGTCTTCTTTACTAAGCATAAAGAT